CACATAAATTGATTAAATATGCGAAGTTTGTTCGGAGAATTCGACTTAAAACATGACATGACTCGGCACCAACTACACACGGCGAACATGACTCACGGCCAACATGAAAATCGATTTGCATGTCACTAATACATATACAACCAAGAGATATCCAGCAATATACCTCTTCAGCTGCTCCCTTATCGAGTTAGACACGTGAAATACTCGCCGTGACCGTGTGTTGCCTAACTTGCGTGCGGTGCGATAGGGTGCTTCTTGCCGTGTGGTGCGTGTGTACTGGGCCTGCGATGCGGCGTGTGCTACTCTCGGTGACTGCATGAGCTGCTGACTTCCGTATGGTACTCTTCACCTTCTCAATAACACTTAACTTGCTAACTCTCTCAAGCTCCCTCTCGACTTAGTGTATACTTGGGAAAAATATAAGAAAATTTTCTCCCAACTCATCTATATATACACGACCGAACAAGGCTTGAGGTGGTGGGATCTTTGTGGTTTAAAGACTTAATGACACTTGTCATAAGCTAAGATTGATTATGATGATTAATCACATCCTAAGCCCTTTCATTTTGCCACGTGCACATGCTTAAAGAGAAGGAGAAATATTGCCTTTAACTTAAGGAATTAAGTACGGTTTTAAAGAATAATTGGAAAACAATTCCAAATGGCTTGGGAATTAATGAACATTACTTGCGGCGTAGCTTCTCAATTCGTGATTAATTTTTTTTTTAATTAATCACTAAATTATGTTTAATTACTTAGTTAAACATAATGCTTAACTACCAAAATTATTCCGAACGTAAACGGAACGTCGGAAATAATTTCAGATAATCTCGGCTGAAATACTTTAATTCGAAATAATAAATAAGTTCGAATTCTTGACTTGAACGATTAATCCAAATATTGATATTTCGAATAATTCGTCAACTTAACTAACTAATTCCGAATTCATTTATTAATGAAACTAATCGGAATTAAATCTGAAAAATTATTCGGTTACTGAATTAATTAAACCGAATAACTTATCGACTAATAGTCGAACATAGAATATAACTGACTGATTAACCTGAACTTGAACATGAACATGATTATTTATTAACAAAGGCTAGCAATAAACTAAAAGCTAGTATTTTCCTTTATTAATAAACTCGGGGCGTTACAGCCCCTATTTACCCTTATTTTCCTTCACTTTCTGAAACGTGCACCATTTTGCTTCAAAACACGATGGGGCGATAAATATATGTTATTAAAATCAAATAATGGTGTCGTGTTCGAATACAAGTCTTTCCGGAGACGCTGCTTACGTTTTTCATACTTGCCCCTGTTTATCCTTATTTTCCTCGACTTTCTTAAACGTGTAGCATTTTGCTTTAAAACACGATGGGGCGATAAATATATGTTATCCACATAATATAATGTTGTCGTGTTCGAAAACAAGTCTTTCCAGTGACGTTGCTTACATTTTTCGTACTTGCCCATATTTACCCTTATTTTCCTTGACTTTGTTAAACGTGTACCATTTTGCTTCAAAACACGATGGGGCGATAAATATATGTTACCCACATCAAATAATGGTGCCGTGTTCGAAAACATGTCTTTCCAGAGATGTTGCTTACATTTTTCGTACTTGCCCCTATTTACCCTTATTTTCCTCGACTTTGTTAAAAGTGTACCATTTTGCTTCAAAACACGATGGGGCGATATATATATGTTATCCACATCAAATAATGGGGTTGTGTTCGAAAACAAGTCTTTCCAGAGACGTTTCTTACATTTTTCGTACTTGCCCCTATTTACCCTTATTTTCCTCGACTTTCTTAAACGTGTACTGTAATATCTCGTCAGATTAATTATATAAATCATGTTTTAGTTCCGATATAATAATATTGTTGAGTATTATTTTTCAGAATTAATTATTTTCAGTCGAAATTACCCGAAATTATTTTCGACGTTCCGTTTACGTTCGGAATAATTTTGGTAATTAAGCTATATGCTTAGTAATTAATTAAGCATAATGTAGTGATTAATTAATAATTAATCACAAGTCAAAAGCCGTAGCTTTTTATGGAATTTTGCCCAAATTCTCTTGAAATTGCTGTGAGCAATTTCCTTCTTAGATAGGAAACTTTTGCTTTCCTTTTAGCTTGAGGTGTCCCTTTAAGTGGCTATTAGTGATGACTCATGAAATAAAAGATGAGTTAGCATCAAGATTAAACCTAATAAAGGCAAGTGTCATGACCTAAATTAGCCACCAAGACTACACCTCATCTATTTCTTTCTTTCGGCTAGTATATAAGGGAGGACATTGGGGCAAATTTTCCCCATCTTCTTACAGCATATATTAAGTCTTTCATTACTACATAGAAAGAGTTAGGGAGATTTGAGAGTTTTCCTCCAAGCTTAGTAGTTACCGCAAGCATAGCACGTGCACCGCACATCACCGCCGAGAGAGCATAGCACACGCACGGAGGCTTCGGTTGTCCCGAGCAGTTAGTACGATCAGTCGAGGGTTCAAGAAGGTAACTTCGTTTTACCTTGAGTTATGTTAGCTCTGGTTGTGCTATGATCTTGTTCATGTTACGGCTTAAGCCGTTTGTGCGTGCGTGTAATCCATTTAGAGCATGTCATGTTTAATTGAATTTCTCGAGCAAACCTTATGTATTCAGCCCATATTTTGTTGTTTAGTCCCGGTTCTTGATTTCAGTACCATTTTCAGTTAAAATTCTGGGTTCAGTTCAGTTTAGTAAATTAATATCAATTCAGTTTCGTATTTAACCGGTTCCAGTTATACCGATTAAATTCGAATATCATGTTGAGTCTAGTAGAGCATCTTAACATAATTAATCAGTTAATTTATCAGTCTGAGCATAGTCTTTAGTAATTGTTTATATTATTTTCAGTTTGATCAGGCATCAGCACTACCTTCATTATCAGCAGTTCAGGTGGGGACTCAGACTGGGTATTACATTGATTATAATATCGCTACCATGTTTGAGGTATGTATATTCAGTATCCGCTCGGAATGGTTGCCGGTCCATTCTGGGTTCTAGTGGCCCTAATCTGCCCACTAGAGTGTGCACATGGTGTCCGGTATTAGTTTGTGCCGGCAGATGTTCAGTTTCAGACAGGTGACGTATGTCACGAGATCAGTATCAGATTATTCAGTACCGGTATCAGATATCAGTTATCAGTTTCAGTTTCAGTTCAGTTATATATACCAGGATCATGATATTGTTATTATTTTCATTGTTTTACTTTAGTATGAGTTTCTGCGGAGCACAGTGTTTTGGTGCTCACGCCCCCACGTATTTCATGTTTTTCAGGTCACAGAGTCGGGGACAAGGAGTGAGCTGATGAGCTGTTCAGGATATTTTTTTTATATGTATATATTATGTTTTGACCACGCTACTATTCCGCTTCAGTTTTCAGTACTTGAATTCAGCTTTTGATCCGACAGTAGTCGGTTAATATAATTATAACTGTTTTTATTATCAGTTTAAAAATTAACGATTTTCAGAAAAGTCAGATTTTCACGGTAACACTCCGAATTAATTTTCGCAAAAATATTTAATTAAATTTATTCAGAAAATTTGCGAAAAAGCGTACTCTGATTTCAGTAAATAGCGGGGTGTTACAATTGGTATCAGAGCACGTTTCTGCGTCTCTGAAAAGTTTTATAAGTCAGAAATTTTCAGAAAAACCTGAACCGTCACGCTCACGCCTCGCCGACTACAGGTAAGTGCTGATTTATGTTTGCAGTTATAAACATATTACTTTGCCTATGCTCAGAAATTTATAAATCATGACTTAGTTAAGATGCTCGAATCAGGTTCAGACTTTAGAGTTCAGTACACTCAGAAATAACTCTAGACTTTTCAGGATCAATATCAGTATTTTTCAGCTACCTTTGGCAACTCGTCAAGTGATTTGTGTGCCTTTAGTAATCAGTTAGAGTATTTTCATGTGTTCAATGATATTGAACTTTCTCAATGATCAGATGCCGCCCCGTAGGGAACCCGATCACCCGGTTCTTCCCCAGGCTACGATAG